CCTGCTGAAAAGAAAAACGTTCTTCACAGTTCAATGGAGAGTGAGAATTTTTCTGCTGGAGATAGTGATGATGGCTTTGAGGAGCCTGAGAAGTCAGCTCTGGATGAAGAAGAAGAAGCCTTTCTAAGGTCGCTGGGATGGGAGGAGAATGCTGGTGTGCAAGCTTTGACACATGAGGAGATTGAATCTTTTCTATCTGAGGTAACTATGTAAATATACTTTTATGAGTTCTCTTTTCTTTCAATTTTAATTTTTTATTTGGAACTGTGATTGTTGACATTTTGATTGGCAGTATAAAATGCGGAGGCCTGCTTCAAAGTTGAACGTATAGTACAACTGGAATTTCTTACCCGACCCACTTATGGTTCAAGAGAAGAATGTGAAAATTGGAGAATAAGATGCAGTGTGCATTCTTTGTACTCTTTTGTTTGGTGTTTTCTCCCAGATTTTTTTCTTTCTTTTTTTTTTTTTTTGTGGTGCATTGGATGAGAGTAAAAGGAAAGGAAGATTATAGGTTCAAGAGTCAGAAAAAAAAAAAGGGCATAGCATTGAAATTATTTTTCTTGAATTTCTTCTGTTTTTTAATTTATTATTTTCTGTTTCAATTTTTTGTGTCAGTTTGGAAGAGAAGGTGCTGTTTCCTTTGCTGCTACAGCTGGTGGTATACAATATGGATTTGCACTTCTAGTCTGCCTTAAATTAGTATATCTGAAGCTGTTTCTTACAGATAATTCTAAAATACTTGTTATACGGGATCTACTCTAACAGTTCAATGAAAATTTTTGGTTCTAAAATTGATTTGATGAAAACTTTTGATAGAGTGAACCGTCTTTTTCTTTATGACAGAAAGGACAAACTGGGATTTTTCACTACTTTCATTCACTGGGTTAAAGCCTGTACTGCTGAAGTTTATTTTTCTGTTCTTATTATCAGTGAGATAATGAGATAAGAGGTTACTTCCACCTCTAGGGCTGCCTTTTATCTCTATATTTATTTGTTATTGTTATGGATATTTTTTTCTCACTTTTGGACAGCTAGGACCATAACTACGATGAAATTAATGTCTCATGTGAGTGGTTTTTGACAAGGTTGACCTTAATTTTATCAATTAACTTTCTTTAATTTCCCAAGTTTTTCATATGGCTTCAAACCTCTATGTTATTACTATCAGATCTGCTACCTGTTTCTAAAAACCTGTTTACATACACATCAGTATTTTACGTAATTCTACTGGTTTCTATTGCAAACCTTTTCCTTGGGATTACTTGGGTGTTAAATTCTCTCTGCTGCTGGAAGGTTGCAATTTATTAAAACTTTCATATATATCTATCTTTTTTATCGGTTTAGATTTTCCACTTTACCGAAAGGTTTGAGGAAAAAAATTACCTCCATATTTTATAAATTCCTGCACCATAATGATGCTGCAAAGAAACTGTATACAATAGCTTGGAGGAAATTTACTCTGCCTAAGCCTCATGGTGGCCTTGTTCACCCTAATCTAGATATTATTAATCTCATGTGCAAATCTAAAATCACAGGGAGACATTATAATTCTATTTCTTACTTATTTAAGTGATGCTCTAACCTTTATGGTTTTTTTTGGTTTAACACTTGCTTTCACATTTCTACTTTCTTAACTAAGGTTTCATTTAGAATCAGAACTTGCATATCCTTTTATGTGAATCATAGCAGTGACCTCCTGTTCTAGTTTGAACTCTGGTTAAATGTTTCTTTACTTCATAACACGTTTGGTAGCTCTGTATACGCCTGTCATTAGTCTTTTTTTGCTCTTTTAATTTCCCCTGATTATTGAATTTAGATGATTTTTAATGTCCCTATTATTGATGATCACAATCCATGTTGCTGGTGGAGATTGGATCACTATTCTCATAAATCTGTCTACTACTGGGTTTATGAGAGTCTTCTTAAAGTTAAGTGGAGCATATTGATTGTTTTAAAGGCTATTCTATCAAGTTGGCTTTAAATATTTGGAAAATCATCACAGATGGATTGAAGACCAATGATATTCGTAATAGTAAAGAGATCATCACATTGAACCCTAACTGTGTGTTTTGTTTATCTGGTTTGGAGAGACTCTAACCATTTATTTTTTGAATGTATTTTTCCTCATCCTTTACACTGAGGGCTACATTTCTAACAAAATTTTTAGATGGTTTTACATTTCGGCTTTGCATGCTACAGCAGATCATATCTGGTATGAGAGGAATTGCAGGATCTTTAAAAACCATTCCACCCCTGCTGAGATCCTCATCAAGAACATTCATAGTACTTATCAGGCAGAAATGCTGGAAATGAAAAATTCAAACATGGAGTTCCTTCTTACATTTAGCTAATTATATAGATTTGATACATTGTTTGGGTATCTGTTTTTCTGGTGCAGGCTGATTATACTAAATTTTAATTTATTTTAAAATTTATTGTCTTATTTCTTCTGTTTTTTTTTTCTTCTTTCCTTTGTTGTAATTAGGGGTGTAAATGAGCCGAACACGAGCGAGCCATGCTCAGCTCATGTTCGGCTCGTTTATATTTCGAACTCAAAAAGTGTGTTCGTCTTCGGCTTGTTTGCTTAACGAGCCGAACACGAGCTGTTCACGAACAAAGGGTCCTTTTAACAACCTTAATCATGGTAGTCATAAGACAATAAGTGTTTATAATAAGGGTTTGAGCAAGATTTAAAAATTATTATTTATATTAAAACATCGTTTGAATCTAGTTTAATAATTTTTTTTTTATTTTTTTAATCAATATTTTAATTGATTATAAATTTTTGTAATCTTGTAGTCAACTAAATTTTTATAAAATACTACTTATATATATATATATATATAATTGATGAGTAGTATATCGAGCTAAAACGAGCCGAACACGAACGAACATATCTTAGTTCGTGTTCGGCTCGTTAACTTATCGAACGAAAATAAAGAGATGCTGGCAGCCCTAGTTGTAATCTTTGTAATCAGGTTATTTTGTTGATATAATTAAAGCGTTATGTTGTTATTTTAATCTTAATAGTTGGGTGTGTGCCTTCTATAACCACCCAGGCCAAAACAAAACAAAAACTTGGGATTATTTTAATGGAAATAGCAGTTTGTATTAGCTGCAGCAGTGTGCCGCTCACCGAATAGAACAATTCATTTGGATTTGATGGTATGTATATAAATTTTAGAAGAAAAATATATTAATAAATATTTTAGCGGCAGTTACATAGATGCAACATAATTGAAGTTCAGGTATTAGATGTGTAAATACATAAAAATCCAATGGTATGTAGAAAATACATTAACAAGTATTTTAGCAGCATGTACATATTTGCCACAATTTTTTTATGTATTTACATATCTAACACCTAAATTTTAGTAGTTATATGCATAACACTCATTTTTTAATATTAAGTCGCATTAATGAAATAAAACTGTGAGATCATTAGGTCAAAGCGGATAATATTTTATTGAGTGAGGCTCAGGACTATTACATTGTATGCAAATAAATCAAGCCCAAGTCAAAGAACCTTTTTTCTAAAATTTATAAAAAAACCTTTTTTTTTTTTTGGCATTCAGACACATATCATATAATTCTTCTCTATTTATATATAGTCCTATAATGATTCATATTTATATGCATAGAACTCAATACACCTTTTCTTATATAAGTTTATAATGCTAAAATGTTATAAATATAAATTTCAAATTTAAGTATTAGATACATAAATACATAGAAAAAAATTATGTGACATGCATTGCTCTTTTGTTTTCGATTTTTTTTATATTTTTTTTCAAATTACATGAAATTACAATCAAATTTTAAACATTACTCGTGTGAAATAAGATCTTAAATTTAAGTCACACACTTCATCATTCATTGCTCCTCATTTAAAAACAAAATATAAATTATTATTTGTGCGAATTTTAGAAGAGAAAACCTGCCATACTAGCCATTTGTATTTCCATTGATAAGGCCAATATGCAAAATATAAAAAAAATGTGACTTTGCTTTGGATTACAATTGTATTTTGTTTTTTTCTAAATACTTGGATGATAATCCATAACTTACTTGACAAGGTTTCTTTCTTTGGCATTTTAACAGATATTTTACATTCCATGGAAACTTTTTTTTTTTTTAACTTTATATTTCAACCATTTAAAACATATCGATTGAATTTTCTTTCTTTGACTTTTATCTTTTCTCCTTAGATGTTTAAATTTTTCATAGATTCATGGATGGAGATCATTGCAGAGTTGTTGGGTTGAGCCGAGCTCTTTTATTTTCTTAAATGGAGACCATTTGCGTTAATGTCTTTCTTTTAATTATTTTATTTTATTTTTAAGTTTGTTTGGAGTACAGTTCTCTTTCTCTCTCATTTGGAGCCTTCGGAGTTTTGGGTTCGTCGTTATATAGTGATGATTGGTGTCTTGCCTCTTATGGAGCCTTCAGAGATCCTCGCAGCTGGCTGGCTGGCTAGTTTAATAATCTATGGTGATTTATGTGATCTTTTTCCTTTAGTTGGAGCTTACATTGATGGTTGAAGTGATTTCTCAATTCTACTACCATCATTTACTATTGGAGCTTACATTGGTGGTTGTTATGTTATGATTTCTCAATTCTGATATGTCTTTTCCTGGTCTATACTGCTTTGGTCTTTCTTGCTTTCAGTGGTTTGTCGTTGTCATATTTCAAATTCTGCATTGTGTAATAACGATTGCAATTGGTTTCGGTTGGTTTTGTCTCTTTGTATTTTCAAGGCTTTAATGTTAAGTTTTATGTGTTCTTTAGTGTTTATATGCTTTTCTTCCTTGTTCAATAAAGCATGGGTTGTCCATAACTTTCTCACCAAAAAACAATAATAAGAAAAAAGTTAAATGGTTGGTAATACTGAATTGTTTGCTTTCTTATCATTACTAATAAGATCCAAGATTCTTAATAAAATCCATTTACTTTTTAATTTTGTATTAATTAAAAAAAAATCAGCTGATTATTTTCTCTTACACCACATTCATGATTTTGAAATTTACATATATATACCACACATTTATGTATTTACATATCTAACGCCCAAAATATGATAATTATAATTACCACATTTGTGTCATAAAATTATACATGAACGTGTATTTCACTTTTAAAAAGATAATGACCATAATATTTTGATGATGTGAAAATAAGAATTTTAGATTTCAAAGCTATAAATATATCAAAATCATGCGGCCGTTGATTTAGAAAATTTTATTGGTGTGACATTAATTTATTTACATATTAAATTGTCAAATCCTTTTTCGATTTCTGTTAACCAGATGAAACAATTAGTGATTGTCTTATTGTGAACAGATTGTATCTAGGAATGCATCTATTTTGTGAGATCATCAAGAAAAAATTAAAATAGCTCATCAATTGTGATCACAAACAATATGATTTAAACCTAATGAACAAACCCACTAACAAGCTTCATAAACGCCAAAATAATATGCTTATTTATAAATCAATCATAAATTTATTTAATATATAGTTATGTAATTTTTTTTTTGTTAGATTAGTTGCATTCATGAAGTTTAGGATTGTTTAAATAATTGTTTACTTAAAATTCATTTAATTAAGATCTTAATTTTACACAATAGACTATGAATTAATGAACTTTCTAGTATTTATTTAATTAACTAATAAGTTGCTCGATATTTTTTGCTAGTTAATTAGCTCAATTAAGCTCAAACCATCATAAATGTAAGCAAGTCTAGCTTCAATACAACACAAAGAAACAACAAACCTTTATCCCATTGAGGTCGGTTACATGAATTCTTTTCCTCCATTGTGTCCTATTAAGTGTAATATTTTCATTTAATTCTAATAAATTAAGTTCTTTTTCCATATAACATGCCCATATCTCTTTAGGACTATAACTGTCTTTCTTAACATAAGTCGAATCTAAAACATCTACTCTCCTAGCCAAATCATCAGATGGTCGATGTTTGATGTGACCAAACCATCTTAAAAGACTCTAATTTTGGTTGGCATTGGAGCCACACTAACCCTTTGATGGATACATTCGTTTCGTATTTTATCTCTAAGAGTCAAGTCACTCATCCATCTAAGCATTCTCATCTCGGCAACATTCAACTTAGTTTAATGATTCACTTTCATAGGCCAACATTTCATGCCATAAATCATTGCAAGTTTCAACATCTTATAAAAATTTTCTTAAAATTTAAGGAGTACTTTTTCTATCACACAATAGACTCGATACTTTCCTCCACTTAAACCATCTAACATGAATTCTACTAATAACATCCACATATATATCACAATCACTTTGAACAATAGACCCAGTATATCTCAAACGTTCACTCATTTTAATGATTTGATCGTCTATTGTTACAACTCTGCCACTAGATATACTACTACTAATTACATTCTATGCATTTAATTTTAGATCTACTCAAACGAATGTCTTTAGAATCTAATGTAGACCTCCATAATTCAAGTTTATTTAGGACTCTTTCTCTAGCCTTATTCACAAGAAGGATATCATCAACGAAGATCAAACACTAAGGTGCATCCTCCTGTAAATGTCTAATAAGTGCATCTAAACTAAAGCAAAAAACTATAGGCTGAGTCGATCTCTGATGTAATCCAACTGAAATAAGAAACACAAGTAACAGATCTAGTATACATTTCTTTAATGACTTGAACATAAGTCATATCAACACCTTTCTTTTCAAGAACTCCCTAAAGAACTTCTCGAACCCTAATCATAACCTTTCTCTAAATCAATAAAAAACATATACAGATCCTCTTTACTCTCAATACTTCTCCATCAAACCTTTCAATAAACATATTGCTTTCATAGTAAAACTGCCCAATATAAATCCAAACTGATCATGATAAATCTTTGCATCATGTCTTAACCTATGTTCAATTACTCTCCCACATAATTTTAATTCATGACACACTAACTTAATTCCTCTATAATTTGCACATTTTTGTCCATCCCCTTTATTCTAAAAATAGGGACCAAAATACACATCCTCCACTCAGATATATTTTTAGTTTTTAAAATAATATTAAAACATTTAGTAAGCCAATAAATTCCCAAATCACATAAATATTCCCACTCTTCAATAATGCTACAAAAATTGAATCAAGCTCAAGTTCAAAATCAAATTTTGGCAAATGTGTTTGTATATAATATTAGTACACGATTCACTTCATTTTCAATTTCACTTGTTTTAAATGTGAAATTACAATCACTATATTTAAGAGTAGTCTTAAGGGTATCATAAGAAAGCTCATCATAATATTCATTTTCACTTCTATTTGCTTTGCAGGAAGTTATGCCCCACCGAAATTTGATGCATGGCTAATTTCCAAAACTATCTCAACAGCATAAAGTTTCTGAATCAAGTTGGTGCAGCACCAATTAGTTCAATCATTTATGATATTCTTTGGAGAATGAGTCAAAACGCTCATGTTTTATAAAAGAGAAAGCATCACCAAAAAAATAAAAAAATTAAAAATCAATGAATTACTACAATTTGGACCCAACTTTCAGGAGCAGAGCTAATTGTACTCTACAGAAATAAATTTGATAACTTGCGGAAGACCGAGCACTTACATACATTTACCTCTGAAAAGATTTCAGTACTGCATGCCGATCCAAAAACAAATAAACTGAGAATCCAATTAGCTATTTTCTGCTTCAATATATAAGATTGCTAAGAATAACCGCAGCTTAAGCTCTGCCAGAATGCAAAACCAGGAACGAGGCCCTATACACCCCAGCAACAGCTTTGCCAAAGAATGAAGAGATCTGTCTAAAAAAAGAATTTTCTTTTTTCAAAAAAAAAAATATTAATATTGAGAAGAAATGAGAGATTATAGAGCAAAAGAAGGCACAAAAAACTCTCAATAGCAAACAAAAAGGAAAATTGTCAAAATAGTCCCTGATTCTTTGCAGGTGGTCCTTCTAATCCCAGAGCTTATTAAGACTATCAAACTAGTCTTCAAATTCTTTTTACATGTGTTATCTCGTGAAAGACTATTTTAGACTCTAATAAAATAGCCTGGGATTAATTTGACTGTTTTATAAACTCTGAGGCTAAAATGACCAAACTAAATAGTCAATGGACTATTTTGACACTTTACTCCAAGCAAATATTACCTAGGAAGAATGAATTATTATTGGTTGTGGATTTTCATAGGTCTCCTTACAAAAGGATGATCTAATAGCTGGGCTGCAGTGGGCCTACAATTTGGATCCACCTGAACACATTTTCTGATAAAATCTTGTGCTTGTTTGGATAAATTAGTTGGAATAGGAGGCTGATCACCTTGTCCAATTTTGAAGAAGGCGTGTTGCTGCAAATGAGGCAATGTAAAATTATAGAAGAAGCGGCTTCATGTACTCAGAGCTTCATTAGAAATAATATGACCGAGTAAAAATACTATCAAAAATAAAAAAAAAACTAGCACATACAAGTAAAGAAATCTTATTTGATATCATGCATACTCTTATTCTTACTCTGCGACATTCTAAAATTCTGTTCTCTATCATTTGATACATAGTTTCATATATGTACTACAAATAATTAGATCTATAACATCATTAGTTGTGCTCCAATTATACAAGTTCAGCTTTATGCATCCTCATTTTTCAAATATTATTTATTTGCCTTGATAGGTACGTGTCTGCATTGAAGAATGTATTCAGGAGCAAATCCTCCATTAATTTTTTTAGGATTTCTTTGTTTATCATATATTATAAATTTTTAGAAGGTTCTTTCACTAAAATATATAATTTATGCGGTCTATTTACTTGGAAATAAAATCCTATAAATCATGTTAGCCACTAAACATAAAGTCAGGAGATATGGAGATTCTATTTGTTTAACTGCAAAGCATGAACTCTGTGAATCACCATGTGATTATCAGGGTTTCAGCAGATTTTACGATTAAAATTTAGACACAAAACTATACAGGGCTGGCAAAATTCAAAACACAATTTTATAGCTCTATAATAAGCTCTACAAGCTTTTCTATTGAAAAAAAAGAAAAGAGAGATTAGCCTTGCATGGCAAATAAAACTTCAATCTGAAAATAAAACTGCATACAAAGCGAACCAAAACTTCACTCACCCACTCCACATTGGGATAAGGAATCTGTCGTGTTAACATCTCTAGAACAGTGCAACCCAAGCTCCATATATCAGCCGCGTGCCCATATGCCTTCTTAGGATGGACAACCTGAGAAAATTATTATCAATGAAAAATGACCAAAGACAGTCCCATCAAACTTTATTGGAATAGAACCAAAATATATCTTATTGATACAAAGAGGGGTATACATACCAATTACAAGATCAACTAAAAAGGAAAAAATTAAACTCAGGATATAATAGATAGGAAAAGAAATAAAACTAAATATAATATGAAAATGAAGGAAATAAAAAAATAATAATTCAGAATAATCAGAAGTAATTAATGGCTATTACTAGCCATTAAAATATTCTAATACACACCCTTAAGTTGAAGCATGGATGTTAGTCACGTTCAACTGGGCTTGAAATCATCAAATAGTGATCGAAAAAGAATCTTTCTGAAGATATCTGTCAGCTGGCTACTCGATGACACAAATGAAAAGCAAATTCCCCTAGACTCAAGTTTTTCCTTAATGAAGTGTCGGTCAATCTCAACGTGTTTGGTGCGATCATACTTTACCGGATTATGTGCAATGCTAATGGTTGTCTTATTATCACAAAACAACTGCAGGGGAACGAAGACTGGCATACACAGTTCTCAAAGCATGATATGTAACTAGAGTGCCTCACAAATTCATAGTGACATGGATCAAAATTTTGCCTCAACACTGCTCCGAGAAGCCACAAACCACTTTTTGTCCACGCAACCAGGTTTCCCCACACAAATGATCGGAGATAGAACGCCGATTATAGACGGATCTGGCCCAATCAATATTTGTGAAAGCAACAATATTGCGAGAGATGTGGTGGAAAAATACAAACCTGAGCTCGTCGTACCTCTTAAATAGTGGAGAATCTGGTGGACAGTTTGAAGATGATGCTCATAGGGGTCATGCATAAATTGACTTACTATCACAACTGCGTGGCATAGGTCGAGGCGTGTATGGGCAAGGTATATGAGTTTCCCCACAAGGTGCTAGTAGAGTCTTGTTAAACAGGAACTACCTTGGGAACATCCAGAAGTTTCTCATTTGGATCCATCAGAATAGCTACTGGTTTGCACAGAAGAAGATTGTTTTCTATCCAAAGGTCAATGACATATTTCCGCTTAGACAGGCAAATGTCCTGAGATAATTGAGCAACTTTCATGCCTAAGAAGTACCATAGAAATCTCAAGTTCTTCATCCTAAAGACGGCAACAAAAATTTCTTTAAGAGATTCCAATGCTAGTAGATCATTCCCTATGACAATAATATCGTCGACATAAACAATAAGGATAGCTACCTAGTTGTTGGAAGAATTTCGGAAGAAGAGTGTGTGGTTTGATTGAGCCCGAGTGAATCAATAACCTACCACCACCTGAACTTTCTGAACCATGCTCGTGGTGATTACTTCAGTTCATGGTAGGACTTTCACAGTCCACATAGTTGCCCCTAGGAGATAGAGGAGTCAAAGCCTGGAGGAAGGGCCATGTAAACCATTTCCATTAGGTCACCGTTCAGGAACACATTTTTGACATCAAGCTGGAATAAGATTCAATCCAAATTCACTGCCAGAGATAAGAGAACCTGAATGGTGTTTAATTTAGCCGCTGAAGCAAATGTCTCCTCGTAGTCAACTTTGTTGGTCTGTGAGTACCATTTGGCCACCAATCGTGCTTTGTTACGTTCAAAGGAACCATCAGATTTAAAATTGATGCTAAAAATCCAATTGCATCCCACTGCTTTCTTGCCTCAAGGAAGATCAACAATGTCCAAGTATGGTTTTGCTTAAGGGCATGCATCTCCTCCATAACAGCAGCTTTCCAGGTTGGGCATGCTAAAGCAGCCTCAATAGTAGATGCAAGTTGATAATTTGTTAGGGTTGTAGCAAATGATTTGTCGTTTGGCAATAATCTGTGAAAGTAGATATAGTTTGCCACAGAAGAAGAGAACATGTCTGATTGCGCACCTTACTAGAGGAACTAACTTCCTCATTTTGAGTCGGAGCAGTGCTGAGAATGTCATATGGGGGGCATTCAGGGTCCGACAAGGGGTTAGCAAGCTCCTGAGTTGGTGCATCAGAACGAGTGCGTCGAGTATAGACACGGAGAGGAGGGAGTGCAGATGTAATCAGAGGGGCAAATGTCTCTTTGGTGATAAGAGAGATGGGTGAAACAAAAAGAACCAAAGGTTCCTCGATGGTAGGTGACGTGGGGGGAAAATCCACGGTAGTAGGGTAAGAATCCAAGAACTCTAGCTCCCCTTTACGTGAGGTCGAGTTAGAAAAGTATGGAACACTTTCAAAAAAAGAGGCAATATCACTCACATGAATCTTACTTGTGGTAGGGTCAAGACACTGATACCCCTTTTCAGTGACAGAGTATCCTAGAAAAACATATTTTATGGATCTGGGATCAAGTTTACTCGGAGTTGTGTTTGTGTTCCAAACAAAGATTATGCATCCAAAAATTTTGAGGTCTAAATTGGAGAAGACCCAATTGTTAGAAAAGAACGATCTCAAGCGGATAAAGGGGTACACAAGTTTTGAATTTTTTAAGGGACTCAATTTATGAGATAAGTGGCGGTAAGAATGACATCATTCTAGAAACGTTTTGGGACATTAAAATGGAACATAATGGAGCGAGTGACATCGAATAGATGTCGGTTTTTTTCTCTCTACAACCCCATTTTTTGAGAAGTGTCGGGACAAGAGCACTGATGGAGGGTGCACTTATTATCAAAAATTCTCCTAATATAGAGTTGAAAAATTCACGATCATTGTCAGTTTGAATGATTTGAATAGAAGTAGCTTTAAATTTATCTTTTAAAATATAGACTCATGTCATCTGAGTGTAGTCATCAATCAAAATAAGAAACTATCGTTTATTGGTGTAGCTAGGAGTGCGAGAGTGCCCCCATAAGTCACTGTGAATAAAAGGGAAATGAGTGTAAGGTGTGTAATTGTGGGGTAGATAAGGGACACGATATTGTTTAGCTAACTGACAAGTTTCACATTTGAAATTAGAAGAATTTTTACTAGTAAACATCAGCGGATACAATTGCATTAGATATTGAAAACTAGGATGACACAAACGAAAATGTAACAACATAATAGAACAATCAGTGAATTAAAATAAACAACAACTACTGGGCAGAGTGTCCTCATTCTTAGTGTTTTTTTCTTAAAAGAAGTAGAGTCAATAAACCTGCTTAGCAGTTACAATCATCCTCTCAGAACAACGATCCTGAAAGACACAGACATCAGATGAAAAATGAGCAACGCAATCAATATCATATGTCATGACAGATAAAAAGTTTCATTTCAGTAGAGATAAATGTAACATGGATTCTAGAGTTAGGTCTGTAGTTAAAATAACAGACCCTTTATCAATAATAAGATTTGAGACCAGTCAACAATTTTAACAATACATTTCCATGAACAAAGATAGTATGTTGGGAAGGCTTGAGAGCTTCTAGTCATGTGATCTGTTGTATCTGAATCAATGATCCATAGACTAGAAGGGGCAAAAGAAGGGAGTATCATAGAATTGGCACCTTGACGAATGTGGAGGTTGACGGGTCGAAAGGGAGTAGGTTGGATTCAAGCATCTTGATTAATTGCTCCATTTTACTCTTAAGAGAATTGGAGGATTCTGGATTGTTTTTGGTAGATGTCGGTTGCACCGTGTTAGATTCAGATCTCACAGTGAGACCCTTGGCAGAAGAAAGATTTGGTTGAAGGTTTGGATATAGGTTTCTAGTGGAGCTTCCAACACTCTCACGAGTGTGGTTGGGCTTGTGGCAATAATCACACATGGGATGACCAACTCGGGGTTGAGAAATATTAGATACCAGGGTGGAGGCTTCGACCAACGAAGTAAAAGCACCAAGCATGACAAGTCGTCGACTCTCTACACGACACGAATCTCAGTGAAAGCAGCTCGAGTGGAAGAAAGAGGATCATGACCAAAGATATATCCCCATACTTCATCAAGATCTTTGTTGAAGCCTGCCAAAAATTGGAATATAGAGTCCTTTTCTACAATTTTATGGAAGAGAGATAGGTTAGCTGGAGATTCTTAAGTGTAGCCATAATATAGGTTGCATTCCATCCATAATGCAACTAAATTATTGTAGTACTGTGTCACAGTCATGGATCATTGTTTTGCTTCACGGATTTTCATGGACACCTCATAGAGTTAGCTGAAATTCCCTACATCCGAGTAGATATCACGAACTGTCGTCCAGAGGGCACTAGCGGAAGAAACATATATGATCGACCAATTGAAGTCTCCATGAAGTTGATCATCCATGATATGACCATGGAATTCTTCACTTCCCAAGCTCCATATGTTGGGTTAGCCTTTGGAGTTTCACGTATCATACCAGTGAGATGAACACATTTCTCACGTCCTTTGATGAACAACGACACTGGTTGTGACCATTGGAGAGAGTTACTGTCATTTAATTTATGGGTTGTGATCAAGAAGTTCATGTTGTTTTCCTGTCCTTCGGTTTGCATAGAAACAAAGTTTGGAATTGATTCGCCGGCCGACTCAAGAACCCCTTCCAATGACGATTCATTGTTGGAGGATTCTGCCATGATCCTAATTGAGCCAAACAAAATATTGGGTTGATGGGACATTGAAAGATTCCGGTATATATATGGATTTCCTGTCCTCAGGGAGAAGTTTTAGCTTGACCAAAACCTCAGCCGGTTGAAATATAAGTACTGGCAGGCAGAACAAATGAAATCAGGCGAATCTGGAAGAAGACCCAGCTCTTAGTACGAGTTCCGGTAGTTGACAGAAAGTCACCTGGCGCAGGGAGGCCAGATCGGCGGCTCTGGAGGATTATCCGATGACTTGGAAGAAAGCAGGTGCTTATATTGCTAGAGAAATGGCCAGAGGAAGCAGACAAAGGAATCCTATGCTTATATTGCCAGAGGAATCGCTAGAGGAATCGCCAGAAGAAGATGCAAAAGTTGCTAGGATCAACGACATAATTAGGATCAACTATTGGAATCGTCAAAAGAAGACGGAGAAACTGCTAGGGGTCAGTTGCTTGAAATGCTAGAGGAAGCAAACAACGGAGCAGTGGTTCTTGTCGAGAGAAAGCAAATCTGGACATGGAGAAAAGAGAACTGGAGAGACCTGCGGAGTAAGAAGATTCTCAACATCCTATTTTAGGACCATGACTCTGATTCCATGTTGGGATATATACCCCTTACAGGATCAACTAAAAAGGGAAAAATTAAACTCAAGATATAATAGAAAGGGAAAGAAATAAAACTGAATATAATAGAAAAAAGAAGGAAATCAAAGGAAATAACTCAAAAAAATAAATCGGAATAAACATAATTAGATAATGACTATTAATAGCCATTAAAATATTCTAATAAAACTAATAAAATAAAAGGTGATCAAGCACAGTCAACTCTATGATTTCATGATTAATATGAAAATAATTACTAACCTCAGGAGCCATCCAGTATACACTTCCTTTACAAGATTTCAGATCATTGAGTTTGGATATCTGACATAATGAACAATAATGTCAGTTATAAATGTAATTAAGGATAATCAAGCTTCTTAAATAAGTACAAACAGAAAGTATACCTCCTTCGCTAATCCAAAATCTGCAAGTTTTACAGACCCGTTTGCATGAACCAATATATTGGCGCATTTGATATCTCTGAAAGTAAAAGAGGAAATGGCTTTGGTTATAAATAAGAAGGAATAATAAATTTCCTGTGTCAAATAAAAACATCCCCATCATTGGCACCATCTCAACTACTTAAAAATTAGATATTTTGAGAACGCAGATTTCTAGCACCTCAAAAAAGTATCATGAAATTCCAAAACTAACTAAAAGAGTAATCTTAAACTATAAATAAATCAGGCATTAACTGACCGGTGCACCACATTCCGCTCATGAAGATATTGTAATCCATTTAAGATCTGCCTAGTATACGCCGAGACTTGTGTATCGCGCAGCTTATATTTTTGATAGAGAGAGGCCAGAGAACCTTGCGTTACAAGTTCAAGGAAGATAAATAGTTTTGATTCTTCCTGTATAACACAATAGTCCAAACACAATCATAAAATATAGTATGGATTCATAAGAAAGCAAACAGAAACAAGCTTATGTTTGGCAGCCAAAGTGTAAATTGCGCACAAATAATATTACAGCTGCCAAAGTTATTATTTGTGAGGCCAAAAGAGCTTTCTTCTTTTTTCTTTTTAAAGATAAAGCTCTACAAAAAGATTACTAAGGAAAAAAGAACCAAATTAGTGCTGAGAAATATAAGCAGAATTTCCAGAAGATCCACATTATTCTATGCGAACATGTACTTAAATCCTGGATGCATATAATCTGCACTCAGCCTTCATATTCCCGATGACTTCTAACAAAAAAAAAAAGAAATAAAAAAACTAAACGTTATTGCTGCTTGTGATATGTGACTCTGAACTTCGAAAAGCCCAACCAGGTGATTTAAGCTCTCTCTAGAAAGGTACAGTGCGTTTTTGTGCTGATTATTAAGGATGTAATTAATTTATTAAGAACTTTGAATGATTGTTAAAAAATGGAATGGAGAACAGAAAATATCATGCTCCACCTAGATAAGAGAAGAAAATTCAAGGCTGTTTAAAAGTGATCAAAACACTCAGACGATAATTTCTTGAACAAACACTAAATAGCAGCTAGCTGGTAAATCATAGGATATAAAGTGGAAACCAAGACAAATTGCTCCGTATGCTTAAAAAATATAACCGACAGAGAGACAAAAATGATTTCTGAAAAGTACTAAGGATAATTAATGAAATAGTAATATAAGAATACCTTGTCCGTTCCATAATACTGAACAATATTTTCATGCTCAAATTGACTCAAAAGTGCAATCTCCTGTAGAACACAAGTTGAAAACAACAGAAGATTGTTATCATAAAGTGTACCTAGAGTGAAAAAAAAAGGCTTTCTGTTGATGCAAGAGGCTGACAAGCTACCCAAACTGGAAGAGATTGTGAGAAGGCAAACATAGTAAAATAATTTTGAGCACGCATTTTTCTCACCTGTTCAAGTTGTAGAATACATTGTTGAGCACAACTTCCTTTTTCGAGCAAAGATACCTCTTTAACAGCGAAAAATCTACCATCACTGCAAATATTGGCAAAATTAGAATGATTTTAAGAAAAGTAAAGCAATATTTCCACAAAAAATTCAGAAAAAAAAAAGAATTTATTTAGCATTTTATTTTTTGGGAAGAGCTGAGAACAGAAATTAGATAGGCAACCAACTTCAACTAAGCAATCATAAAATGTATAAAATATCAGGTGTGAAGGCATTATATCTCTTAACATGAAGCTGCGAAGCAAAATTCAAAGACCAAAAAGGTATGGAGCTAATAATGATGAAGAAGATTCAGTACCCAAACTTCCATTCGGCCAGTAGTAGCTTTCACAATAAACAAAAATTCCCATCAAAGTTAAAATGAGCTTGGTACAACCTTAATAAAAAAAAAAAAAAATGTTTAAAACAACATTAATGTTTAAAACAACATTAATAAACTTGCAAGTGATGACACAATGCTGATAACCATGTCAGTGGTTAAACTATTCTAGAATCCAAGCCCTCCATTGAAATTGGGAAAATGAGAGAAAAAATCAGGCAATTCCATTTTACTATCACAAGAAGCTACAACTTTACCAAACAAGAATTTCTTTCAAAATTTACTTTGGGAAATTGAACTAATAAAAAAAAACTTCACACATTTCAGGGCACTGTTAACTTTATCTTAGTGTTGTTTGAGGTGTTCAAATTTATTTTGCAAATTATTAACAAGACTTATCCATATTATCTTGTTAGCGCTGGAGCCCGATCGTTGCTCTTGATCGCGAATCGGCGTTCACCCGCTCCCGCCTCCTCTATTTCGCGAAACGCCGCAAACACCCGATTGCGTCTCCCGCCTCCCTTGTTTGCAAACTGTTCCCCCGAACAGTTCTTTATTTCGCGAAGAATGGCGTCTATCGCAAAAATTCCTTCTTGTTCATGATAAAAGGTTTCAGACGGCTCTTCTTTTTGGTTCTAAGTCATATTTTGAGTTCTTCTTCCGTTTTCTCGGGATAGAGGAAGGTTTCCTCGGGATAGAAAAAGAGTTCTTCTGGCTTCCACGGGACAGTGGAAGAGAAGTGCAAGGAGGAGCAGTTCCTTGCGGCAGAAGGAAGAAAAAAGAAGAAGAAGAATATTGTTCTCTCTAGGCTTCTTCTTGGTGGCTTGTGACAGAAGAAAAATTGAGTTTATTTCTCTTGTAAGTTTGTCTTATTCGGTGTATCTCGGTGTAGAGTTTCTTCAGTGTATCTCGGTGTAGAGAGAGAAGAACAGAGAGAGAATATGAGAGAGCAACGAAGTGAGAGAGAGATTTCTCTTGTAAGTCCAGGTGATCGGCTGGTGTAAATTCCTCAAGTAGTAAAATCCTCTGCAACTCCGTGGACGTAGGAAATTTATCGAACCACGTAAATCTGTGTGTTCCACTATGGTGTTACTGTTTTCTGGTGTGATTTTTCTCATTCTATTTTTGTTTCGTAGATCGTTCTCCTGTTTGATTTTATTTCTATATACAAAAACTGATATCAGAGCTTTGTTTGGATCTGAGGAAGAATGATGGTTGCATATTAAGTGAAGATTTCAGGGAACAAGATATTTGATGACACAGATTTTGATTATTGGAGATGCAAATAGATGATTATTTTTATGGGAAGAAACTTCATCTTCCGTTATTGGGGAAAGACCTGAAAGAATGGATGAGGCTGAATGAAATTTGTTGGATCGACAAGTTCTGGGGTTTATTCGATTGACTCTATCGAGGCCCGTAGCACACATCGTCGTCAGGGAAAGGACGACTGCAGATCTCATGGCAGTCTTATCAGGTATGTATGAAAAGTCATTGGCGAATAATAAGGTGCACTTGATTAAGAAGTTGTCCAATTTGAAGATGACGGAAGGTGTTTCTGTTGCTCAAAACCTGAATGATTTCAATACTATCACAAATCTATTGTCGTCCGTGGAAATTGATTTTGATGATGAGATATGTGCATTGATCTTGTTGGCTTCATTGTCAGATAGTTGGAAAGTCATGAGAATAGCAGTCAGCAGTTCTGCATGTAAATCTAAACTAAAATACGATGATATTCATGATTTGATTTTGACTGAAGAAGTTAGCAGGAAAGATTTTAGCGATGTCTCAAGTTTCAGTTCGGCACTGAATGTTAATTTCAGAGGGAGATGGCATGACAAGAACTCAAGTATAGGGAGAACTCAAGTGACAAGAACTCAAGTATAGGGAGATCAAAATCAAAGTTTAGTAAGCAAACAACCTGCAGGAATTGTGGCAAGGCTGACCACATAAAGAGGAACTACAAGAATTCTAAGAAGATGTAGAATGATAGCGCAAATGTGGTATCTGAAGAATCACAGGATGCACTATTGTTGACAATTCATAATTCTGTTGAAGACTTGATATTGGATTCAGGAACTTTGAATGTGGTAGAAAATCTACCAGAGGCCACAGTGTAGGGCAGTGATGGAAGTGAAGAGGAAAGTGGGTTCGGGACACCCATTCTTATTATTCCATAGACAGATGTTGAAGAATCACAGAGCTATGAAGAAATCTTGCAAGATGAAAGTTCGAGCAAGTGGGAGCTGACAGAACTTCCACCAGGGAAGAAGACATTGCACAACAAGAGAGTGCACCAGGTGAAGACTGAGCGTAATGTCAATAAGAGGTATAAGACTATGCTTGTTGAAAAAGGCTTTCAACAGAGGCAGAATGTTGCCCATACATTGAGAGTTATAAGCAAAAATAAGTGACCCAGGAAATAGCTTGGAAGTGCAAAGCTATATGGAGTCTGCTGATATGTTGACTAAGGGTGTTACTCTTGAGAAACTGAAGTTGTGCACAGCTTCAGTTGGTCTTCTGGAGTGAAGACAGAGTTTTGAGTTGCAGAGGTGGAGGATTCAAGGTGGAAGATTCACAGTGGAGGATTCATGATGAAGGATTCATGTTGAAGGAAAAAGGGCAAGCTACCAGTGGAGGATATCAGTTTAGGAAGAAGATGATTTAGCCAGTGTATCAGTCTCCAAGTGGGAGATTATTAGCACTGGAGCCCGATCGTTGTTCCCGATCGCGAATCGGCGTTCTCCCGCTCCCGCCTCCTGCTACAGATCTCCCGCTCCCGCCTCCTTTATTTCGAGAAACGTCGCGAACGCCAGATTGCGTCTACCGCCTCCCTTATTCACGAAATGTTCCCGCGAATAATTTGTTATTTCGCGAAGAATAGCGTCTGTCGTGAAAGTTCCTTTCTGTTTGTGATAAAAGGTTTTGGACGGCTCTCCTTTTTGGTTCTAAGTCATATTTTGAGTTCTTCTGTTTCCTCGGCTGTTTCCTCGGGATAGAGGAAGGTAGAGGAAGGTTTCCTCGGGATAGAGGAAGAGTTCTTCGGGCTTCCACGGGATAGTGAAAGAGAAGTGCAAGGAGCAGTTCCTTATGGCAGAAGGAAGAAAAAAGAAAAAGAAGATTGTTTTCCCTAGGAGTCTTATTGGTGGCTTGTGGCAGAAGAGAAATTGGGTTTATTTCTCTTGTAAGTTTGTCTTCTTCGATGTATCTCGATGTAAAGAGACAAGAACACAGAGAGAAGAAGAGAGAGCAACGAAATAAGAGTGAAAGATTCCTCTTGTAAGTCGAGGTGATCGACTGGTGTAAATTCCTCAGCTAGTAAAATCCTCTGCAACTCCGTGGACGTAAGCAATTTGTCGAACCACGTAAATCTGTGTGTTCCACTATGGTGTTACTGTTTTATGGTATGATTTTTCTCGTTCTATTTTTCGCTTCGTAGATCGTTATCCTGTTTAATTTTATATATATATATCACATCAACTGATATAGTTCACAACATATCTTTGATATTCCCATCTTCTTTCATAATTCTTACAAATAAACTATACTTGCACAACTTATTGCTGCAACTTCTATCCTATATTCATTATGCCCAAGTTACCTCAATCTAATTTCCACTATATAATTTCAACGTGTTACATCTACAATCCTTCTCAAAGAAGTATTATCTTGATTTATACTCTTTTGAAAAATCATGATCCCCATTTATGTACTCTCGCTACCCACACTGAACTCTACTTATGTTATTTGCACCATCGATCGAGGTTTAGGATTTGAGGCTATGCTTGCCTAAGAGTAAGATTGTAACCCAACTAAAATAAAACAAAATAAAAAGGGAGGATTTATATGCAAATCATTCAAAACTAGGCCTGTGAACAAGTTGAATCGAGCTCGAGTCACCCATTGCTTGAGCTTGAGCTTGAGTAATTAATTGAGTTAAGAGTTTAAAATCGAGCTTAAATCTACGACTTCAAGCTGGCTCACGGGATGACTTATTTATTATAAAAGGGAAAAGAAATTATTAATTTAAGTTAGTGTTATAATAAAATGATAAATATAATGAGAAATTAAGAGATCAATAATAAGAAATCAATTGATTTAAAATATAAAGCATTTTTTAAAACATCTTTAATAATTTAAAGATAATGACTTAAAATTTAATATATTTTAGATTAATATTTTTTAAATGAGTCGGTTCATGAGCTAACAAGCAAAGTTGGGGCTGGCTTGAGCTTGGCTTGTTAGCTTATCGAGCTCAGCTCACGAGCCACTTACTGATCTAAGCCCGAGCTAGCTCACGAGTAGGCTTTGCTTATTTACACTGTTCAAAATATTATGATTTACAAGTTTAACACCTAAAATTCACCATTTAAATGATATAGCACTGTATAAATGGAGTAAACAAATACTTTGACGATGAAGAGGAAGCTGCAACAAGATAGGATCTTGTTGGGAATGGTCTTCAACGGCCGCCCCCTCCATACCCGTATGGACAAAGCATCACTAATGAAAAAGAAAAGGAAGTTGCAACAAATCTTACCAAGATTTATGACGGATCCATGAAGCACCAACCTTGCCACTTCATCTTTGATTTGTCCACTTATAACCTCTGCAACCCCTCCATCACTCACCCAAACCCATCATCATCGTTTTCGTTGTCTGCACCCGCTCCCTCAGCGTAGGTGATAAAGATTCTAAGGGTTTCTTTAGTAGAGGTATTAGTGAGATTTATCACCGGATTCACTAAATCTAGCCAAACGGCTAAATGAAAGAAGTTCATGGATTTACGAGTTTCCAGACTTAGTAAATCCAATTTTGCCTTCAATTTTGCTTAAATTCAAATCTGCCAAAACCAAAGAATGGGTGGATTTACGAATTCACTAAATCCTACTTGCAACCAAACAACCCCTAATGACGAATATGAAGACAGTGTATTTGTTTTCTTTTAGGGACATTTACAAACGTACCAAACTATTTTTGTGCTTACACATGTAATACCTACACAATCATAGTTACATGCATACCCTCTTTAAACATCACATCAAAATATCACCATCATAACCTTTTTAAACGTAAAATACATCTTTCTATTCATAGATTTATGACACCAAGGTCTTATTAAGCGTAGACATGTAAATATATAAGAATTGTGCGGTATGTGAATTTTCCTTTTTTTATGTTCTTTAAAATTGAATTTTGTGCATTATGTGTATAAATAGTAAATTTAAATGTTAAATATGAAAATAATAGTATTTTAAGTGATATAAAAAAAAAAAAACACAACTGGTAGAAAAAAGAACCAGTTCTACCCTTACTCGCTGATTCCTTCGTAAACTGTCCCAAAGGAACCGGTCCCGAGAAGTTGCCCCCGCATCCACGATCCAATAATCTTCTGAAGCCGTTCGTAAGGTGAAATTACAAACATCGATTCCGTAGTGGTGCTGGACGAATCATCATCATTAGAAGTCGAGAATGATCCGGTGCAATCCTCCGATGTCTCCCCAAAACGCACTGAGGCTTCTCCACAACCCATTCTTTCATCTCCTTCTTTCTCGGCCTTCTCATCCAAATTAAACAATTTTCTCTCCGTTCCATCATCATTCTCGTTAGCCGAAGCAATATCCCACGGGGAGGTCGTTCTTTCAGGAACATACTGTTTCATGAAAGCCGGCGGCTTAAGGACTGACCTTCCAGGCGGTGGGTAAAGCGCAGAAATCGGTCCCTGAGGAGTAGCGAGGACGGGTGGTCTAGTGCTCTTAATCCCTCCATCTCCAACGCCACCTCCGCCACCGAAAAGGTGCGAGATCTTCGCTGCCTTGTCATCCACCATTGGCTTCTCCCCATCGGCCAGACTATCTGCGGTGAGAGGCGGATTTTGCTGCGGCTCGGCTGAGCTTTCAGAGCAGACGAATCGGGAGCAAAGGATAAGATCGCAGGAGGAACGCGCCTTAAGGGAGGCCTCCCACGCGGCTGCGGGGATCGCGAAGTCCTCAGGACCGGAGAGACCTAGGCTGCGATAGAGGAGTTCAACCTCGCCTTCGATGCTACCTCCTATGCGGAAACTCGTTTGGTCTGAGTATGCCGCCGGCGAGAGGTCCAGAGAATGGGCTACCAGCGCCGGCGTCTCGTCCGACGAGCTCGGCGCCCGCGAAGCGTCGTAATCGATCTTCTTACTGGCATTCCTCCGCTCCAGTTTCGGTCGGCGAACCGAACTCATCGTCATGTCACGCGAGCGGCTGAACTTCTTCCTGCCGAACGAGAACATTGGTCGCCCATTAGGGGGAAGGAGTTAGGGTTCGGGACACGATGGTTTCTGATCCATTCTTCACTTTTTCCATAATGATTGAGAGTCGTGAAACGAAGAACGAGCAAGGAGCCACGGAGAACAAATGGCGGGCGACTCTAAGAGCATGGCCAGCCACCTCTGTGTTGCTCTCTTGTCCTTTTGCTCTGATGGGGACGAATCTTTTTGTCCGCGGAAGATGAGCAGCTAATAGTTTATAAAATTTATCTGTAAATTATTATATTTTTAAGGGATAGTTACACACAGACCATCCCAAACTTTGATATTTACAAATTAACTATCCACATGTATTTTTTAACTACTAATGTGTTTACGAATGCCGCAACTGCCAATTTCATAAAAATGAAAAATATGAGTCAGGATTTTATCAAGAATTTTGATATTTGATTGAGAATTTAAAAAATGATTGAAAGAGGATGATTCATTTATAAATAATAAATTTCTAGTGATTTGTATGCAATTATCTCTTTTTTAGCTTTTCAAAAAAAATAGATTTGCTTACATACCATTCAAAATATGTGTATTTTCATATTCAATACTTTTCAGATTTTACAAATACCTTAAATTATTCAACACAATGTTTCTACCATAACTACCACTCCGTACTAAGCAAATTCATTAATCATTATCTCCTTCTCCTCCACCTCACAACTGTATTAAGGTAAGCAGGGGAGGAAACCAAAATTTGAAGAGAGAATGATGAAATTAAAAATCAACTAAAATAAAAATGTATTAAATTTAAAATTTAATCCTTACATAACAAAATAAAAAAAAGTTAAGTAAAACAAAATGAAAAAAAAAAATTATTGATTAGCATATAAAGTAAAAAAAAGACTCTTTTAATCAAACTATTATGAACAAATACCTTAAATTATGCCTAACATTTTTTCACGACATTCAAATCTTTAATACAATTTTTCATGACATTCAAATTTTTAATCATTAATTTAGAATTAAAAATCATTAAAACATCTTTTTTAATATATATTATGAAAATTACTTCTCATTTTATACTGTAACTTTCTCTTAACAATCTTCATAGTTGAAAATACACGTTTGCTATCGAAACAAACAATGCAGCCTTGTTAAATGATCAATAAGATGATATGCCACTGTATTTCTTGTTTTAGCTAGTATTTGACACGAATCAAAAGTTTTTTAGAGATTCTAAAACAGTTTATTAGAATAAGTTTCAATTTTAAAATGCTCTAATTGAATTTTTAAGCTTGGTTTTTCTATATCCATGAAGTCTTCAAGATATGATTTATTTGAAATTTGAAAAATATATTGCATGATCGATGTACATTTTGATGATCCAATGTAAAATTAAGAATTAATATTTTTTTAATATTTGCTTAAGTCAGTTATTCATTCTTACAATTGTATGTCTAAAGTGGCTATGAAATATCAACTTTATTTTATGATGAGAGCATTGTTGACCTCTAGACTAAGAAAAATTCATATCTCGAATATGTATGCATATATGTATGTAAGCGTTTGTGTGTGTCTATATATATATATATATATATATGATGTGTGATCAAATAAATCATATTGTTTCTCCTAAATTTTGAATAGTTTATTTGGATATTGATATTACATACATCGCATTCAATATATCTTGTGACTTTCTTTATAATGTTTGACAAATATCATAAGTAATTTTTAAAATTTATATTATAATATATAAAGTAAAAATAAAATAAAATGAGATCATATTTCATCATAAGCTTCATCAGTTTTACTTTTTTGACGTGATGAATTTTCTTCTTTAATAAGTTCTTGTAAATAATATAGGTGGCACCACACATATTCAAAAAATTATGGAGAGAACTCAAATGTGAGTCTCAACGTGCATCTCTTCCAAGTTTTAATGTACCAACTTTATTTAATATCTTGTCCATATCTACTTCAACAATTAAAATCATTTATGAAATTTTAATTATTTGAGCAAATTTTACACAATGTTTAAATGTTGACCATCTAATGATCTGATTAGGAGAGTAGATGTTTTAGATTCGACTTATGTTAAGAAAGGCAGAGGTAGACCAAGGAAGACGTGGATTATTGTAAAAAAAATGATCTTAATTTATTTGAACTAAATGAAAATATGATACTAAATAGGACGCTATGGAGAAAAAAGGATTCATGTAGCCAACCCCACGTAGTGGGATTAAGGCGTTGTTGTTGTTGTTATTGTTGTTGGGCAAATTTTAATTGATTTTATCTTTTACAAGAAAACAAATCAAATTAATTATAAATGTTAAATATGTAAAGAATTAACAAATTGAAATAACATCTTTTGGATTAAACTGTTAATGTTAACAATAATATGTGTGTTAAACAATAAATATAATATACAAAAGAACATTCTTTGTTAAACAAAGCTTGTAACATATTCATTCATTAGCAGTCAATTTCAAGAGGGACCAATTTTTTAATAACATATTGTTACATAGTTATTAAAAATCTAAGGTCATAACTACTCCCCTCAGCCCCCTCCTCCACAGTTCCACCACTCAAGGCAAATCTTTCATGCACAATAAAAGTTTTACTCAACAAACCTATCTGAAAAGGCCGCCTTTATCATTGATGTCACGCCTATATCACAAGTTAATCATCTTATGGCTCCTCTTCTTTTTCCATCAGTGAACTAATTAAAGCATAAGAGAGAGCTTCTCCTAGCAGCCTTCTCTCTTCCTTGGCTCCCAATTGTCTTTGATCGTCTCCTCACACTTAATTTTTCCAAGGTTCAAGATTACTTAACAAATATTTGATATATGTGCACTTGTTTATTCTATGATGTGAGATGGTGCACAAACCTCAAAAGGTTTTAGACTTCATGAGTTAAAGATTTTGAATCTTAAATATTTTTTAAGAGCTTCCGCAAATATGTGATTCGTAACAACTCATCTGAGTTTCTTTAAAACCATAAGGAACATAGTAGTTATTATGTGCAACTTTATTATGTAAATGTTCTTCGCAATACTCAACAATAAATGTAGAGTTGCCAATTTAGAGTATTGCTGACAAGAGAATGCTTCGGTGGATGAGTGGCTTAACACTTAGAGACAGAATGTGAAATGAATATATCCGTGAAAGATCTAGTGTTGCTCTAGTGGCGGACAAGATTAGAGAGAGTCGTCTTCGGTGGTTTGGTCACATTAAAACGTCGACCATCTGATGATCTAGTTAGGAGAGTAGATGTTTTAGATTTGACTTGTGTGAAGAAAGGTAGAGGTAGATCTAAAAAAACTTGGGCATGTTTTATAAAAAATGATCTTAATTTATTAGAATTAAATGAAAATATGACATCCAATAGAACACAATGGAGGAAAAAGATTCACATAGGCAACCCTACTTAGTGGGATAAAGGCATGTTCTTGTTGTTGTGTTGTTCTTATACTTCTCGATTTTAAGAGAGATAGTAGTAGTCATTTCATTTTATCATTTGGATTGTTATCTAAATGACTGTGATTCTGATTTCAATTTTTGTTTTGCTCCATTTCTCTTGGAACTATAAAAAAGAGAGAAATAAAGATAAATTTTAGTATCCCATATGTCAAGAAATTGAACATAAGATTAATGAAACTCAACATTTTGTAATGATTCTTCTGTAAGAACTTAGATTTCTCGTAATGAATTTAATGATCATACAATCCCTTGGAAACTTATTTGTATAATATTTTTTTGTGTAGTTGTTGTGTTTCAACTTTATTGATATATAAACACCACTCATCTTGTTGCTCATTTATGTTAATTTGCTTATTTTATTAATAAGTAATCTATCATCATAAATGGCTTTATCTCAGTCCTTAGCAACAAAGTGTGATCACAAGATTGTCAAAATAAATGTAGATGCAACTTTAACTGTGTATTATTCATCGGTTATATATGATCGAACAAGGGAAGAAAACTCTATAGATGATCTTGTAATCTAACAATGGATGATTGCATTTAGTTTAAATGGTTAAATGAGCCTGAGCACATGATTACATTAAATTTAAATGGCTAAATGAGCCTGAGCGCATGAGATTGGTCAAGCATAATTAGTTATAAGCTTTTAAGGTGAGAGTTAAACTAAAATTAATGTTTATAATTCTTATTATTGATCTTGCTATAAGGTTTTATTTTGTTTTAAGGCAATGGAGAATCGAACGAACTTGGTCTAATTATTGTAATCAATATTATACCATCAAATCTTATTACTAATAAAGTTCATGTATTCTAATAAGTTTATGTGATGGCTCTCATGATGTTTATTATTTACTATTGCATGTATTATGTTGTTTGAATTGATATTATCAACAAAAATAAGTATTGCAATGCTAACGATATTAATTGTTGTGGTGTGAATCATCAATACATTACTTTCTTGGCACGGTTGGTAGACCCAACTTTCCTGATGCAACCCCTTGTGTGGGGATAATGCCAGAAGGATGTCGAAATTATGTCTGATTTTTTTTTACTAAACAAACACATTGAAAATGACTTGAAAGGACATTCTAAACGCGTATATAAAAAATGAGAAGTTTATGAAATTAAAAGAAATTACTTAATGCACAAGCAAACATATATAAGAAATATATGACCAGATAGCTCATCACCGGGTTTAAATGCAACCTACTTAACTTAATATTCACATAAAATCATCTGACCACTCCTTTACAAGCATCAATAAGACTCGAAATCTTGTGTTTTGAGCATTGATAAGGTCACATCTTGAAACTTCAATAATTTTTAAGCAATGAACTTGGAATAATCGTGAAAAGAGCTAAAGCAAAAGTATTATTTATGGCCTCCACTTGATGTTATATTGGCCTCTTTAACAGATATATATAAGAACAAAATTTTCATAATATGAATTATCTACAAAACTCCTACTCCTTAATTGCTACTGAATCTGCAACATAAATGCACTAATGAACATAGGGCATTCCCTTAGAAGGTCTAAAGTGAAGTTTGCACATTTCATGATCATCACACAAACATATCGAGTTTGGGATGATTTTAAATCTTGCATATTGTTCAATCCGAAAATGTATGGGAAACACTCCTAAGATATAGAATGTTCTGCTAAGAAGTGGATTTGGGGGGGAGGGGGGCGGTGGAGTATATTAAGACTAGAGAATATATTCATTTGATGAAAAATTTTTCGGCCGCTCGCTACGCTATAACTCCATTGGTACACGGTTTGCGACCGAGTAACTCGTCGATCTGTTTTGGAGTCTATCTTTGTTCTATAAAAAATTCTTCGT